CTGAGCTTTGGCGGGGGAAAGGGGGCGTCAGGCAGAAGGGGCGAGCCAGGGCGGGAGTTAGACTCCCAGAGCCCACCGTTCACCTGCTGCCCATGCAAACAGGTAATAAAGGTAAAAGGCTGCACATTCAGATGGAGTTTGTATGCATCTGTGCAGACTGCAAAGATCCCCCAGTATCAAATAGAATTCATAAGTTGTACAGAGCATCCTAACTCACCACAGCTTCGTATACAACTGCTTGGGAGACCTGGTTACACCACAATTGTTCTGTGAATGAGCTATACTATTTTTCCAGTTTATAGTGTAGCCAGGATTGTGACCATGTTTTGTAACAGGGCTAAAGCATTGGCCATATCTCCCTTGACATTAATGCCTCTTGGACATGTTGTCATGCTTAAACATGGTTAAGGTCATATTTACTCTAGAAATTTGAATAATTTTATAACAAAACCTCTGGCATGGTTTTATTTGCAATGTACGTAGGTCCACAGAGTTGCACCATTTGTTTATTTCTTGGTTTGTTGCTAGGGGGTTGGCCTCTAGAGCCTTTGTGAATATTGTTAATAAGAAATTAGTTTTATCTGTTCTGCCTTGATGGGATCAGTGTTAGTCCTTCAGGGTGTCTAACACCTTTCCCAGGCAGGGCAGCTGTCTGGAATGCAGTACAAGAGGCTGTCCTGGGCCAAGTCCAGACTTGAACAGTCACAGTGCTAATATTTTCACATATTGTGTAACACAGAGTTCATAATTTGATAGTCTTATTTCACTTTGTCACATGAATAACAAGGCTTTGTGTAATGAGGCAATTACTCCTGAGGGCATTCTGTGCCAAAAAAATAAAAATTCTACGCACAATATTTTAAAATTCTGCATATTTTATTTGTCAAAGAAATGTGGAGGCTCCAGCATGGGGCATTGGGGAGCAATGGAAGGCCACTGGCTGCACAGAGTTGAGAGATCACTGTGCAGCTTCTCCCCTCCCCCCCACCCCCGGGACATGAACTCAGTAGTGAGGCTGCACCCAACCCTGACACAGTGCAAGGACCAGGCCTGCCCCAGAAACACCCCAGAGCCCTGCCCCTCCATGCCAGGAGCACCAGGTGTGGGGAGGCAGGCTCAGCAAGGCAGGATCCAAGTGTGGAGGGGCTTAGTGTGGGGGGATCCAGGTGTGGGTTGAGAGGGTTCTGTATGGGTCAATCTGGGTGCGGAGGGGATCTGGATGTACAGGGGCTTGTTGGGGTTTTTTGGGTGCAGTGGTAATGGGACTCTGCAGGGGGGTCCAGGTGAAGGTGGTTGGGGCTCAGTGCGGGGGGTCTGGGTGTGGGGGAATAGAGCTCTGCAGGGGGTTCTGGGTGTGTGGGGGGCTCAGTAGGGGGTCCAGATGCTGGGGGAGTGGGACTCTATGGGGTGGGGATCCATGTGCAACTGGTTGGGGCTTGGTGGGGTGGGGGTGCGGGTAGCTCGTCAGGGTGGTCCGGGTGCAGGGGGAGTGGGGCTTATCAGGGGATTTCTGAGTGCAGGGGGGTGAGGCTCAATGGCAGGGTCTGGGTATGAGGGGGTCTGGATGCACAGGGATTGTGCGGATGGGGGAGCAGTTCCCTGTACAGGAATCCCTCCCCCTGCAGCTGAGGAGCGATGGGCGCAAGAAGCGGGGGGGAGGGGGGGAGAAGGGATTTTGCAGAACTTCCTGTAGCAGGGGGAGAAATCTGGGGGTGGGTTTGACCCAGCTCCGGATGCTGTGTGGGGGAAGAGGAAGTCTCATCCTTACCAGCCCAGCCTGGACTAGCAGCTGAGCCTGGCACAGGGTAGGAGTCACCAGCCAAGTCTTCCCAGTCCCGCTTCCTGCCCCACAGTGATTTACCTCTCTGCCGGCTGCCCTGGGCACCGAAACATACTGCATTTTTCTGCGGGGAGGGAAAGAAATCTGCGGGGGACATAAATTCTGTGCATGCACAGTGGCACAGAATTCCCACAGGAGTAGGCATTAGACAGTGTATTGGGATTTTCAAGTGTCCCAGTTAAGTGAGCTCTGATTTGTGCACTTGAATTAATTGAGTTAATATACATACTGAAGCATGTGAGTGAGGGGAATGAGAATTGAAACTGGTAGGTTACAAGTTGGTCAAGAGCTGTGGAAACATTGGAGTTGTAGATAGAAATTTGGGGGGAAGCAATTAGAGTCGTCAAATGAAGGCTTAGGATATGTTTCATTCAGGGGAAATGGGAAGGCTCCAGGCACTTTAATGATCATTGTACAGACCTGACTGAGTCCTCTTAGTTTTGGGTCACCAGTATGTAGTAATAGGACTCAGCCTTTGGATTCCATGTTCTTCCAAGCCAGCTGGCTTTGGGCAGAGTCCCACCATGATCTTTAGATTTGGGCCTGTAAGGCTCACTCCTAGGTTCAGATCCTTCCCGGAAATCCTTCCTTGGGACTTGAGACTCCACAATCCAACTGCAATAGGTTTCAAGACCAGTCCTGGACTTCCTAAATCGCTCCAGTTACTGATGCTTATTCCCCCAGAGTTCCATTCCATTTTGGATACTCTAGTTTATAGTTGAACTCTTGAGTGACCACGTGGCAGGTAAAGTCAGGAATAGAGGCTTTGCACAGGAGTTTCTAAAACCAAAGTAACTTTTACTCTCAAAGGGTACGTCTATACTTACCTCCGGGTCTGGCAGTAAGTAATCGATCTTCTGGGATCGATTTATCATGTCTTGTCTAGACACGATAAATCGATCCCGGATGGATCCTGGAAGTGCTCGCCGTCGATGCCGGTACTCCTGCTCCGCGAGAGGAGTACGCGGAGTCGACGGGGGAGCCTGCCTGCCGCGTGTGGACCCGCGGTAAGTTCGAACTAAGAGAGTTCGACTTCAGCTACGTGAATAACGTAGCTGAAGTTGCGTATCTTAGTTCGAAGTGGGGGGTTAGTGTGGACCAGCCTAAAGCATACAAGAGTTACAGATCTTTAGGCGAAACAACAAGAACTTATATGCCCTTAGGCCTTCTTGTGAGTCCTCAGGGCATAGTCCATATATCAAAGTGTAGGCCCCTCCTGCAGTCCTCTTGTTGTGGGCAATGGTTGGTTGGTGCAAGAGGTAGTAGAGTAGATCTTCACCTTAAGTAAAGTTTCTGTCCCCTCTATAATGTGACTCATTCACTGGCTTCAGTGTCCTAGTCAGGTGGTTAAAGCCCTAGCCCCTCTTAGAGACAAACTGGGAGAATCAGTTTTTTTGCTTGATTACTCTCTTTAGAAAATACCATTGTTCCCATAGAGTCATACATAATTGATGGTCCTCTCATTCAGGGTCAGACACCTCAATCTTTCACACTAGACATTACTATAGGCAAAGAGCAAAGCATGGGAAAAAGAGGGCAAACTAAGCATAAAAAGCAGTGTTTTTACCAACTGCTCACACTCCAAATAAGAGTTTTGTTTCTCAAGTTCCATCTACAATAGGCTTCAAAACTTTAAGAAACTCTATTTAATCTTGCTTTGAATGCAGTCCAAACAAATGAATGAGCACACTCCTACCTAGATCTGTCTTCACTGCCTTTAGATACTTTTAACTATAATTAGATTTCTTCCCCTTCACCCCCATCCCAGCCTATGTTTTTCAAGGATAAACATGGTAAGCTTGAGAAGCTGTTGCCAATATCCCTTCAAATCAAGCTCATTTTCAAACTCTTGACTTTGCAGTCATGGACCTCCTTTTTCAAACTTGGTGCTCAGAACTGTACACAGTAACCCCCTACAAGCTCCCCCCTTTTAAGTGGAACCATTCTTTTCCTTAGCTTTATAAGTTCTTGTGTTTCTCAGATTTTGTTGGTTTAATTTAGACCATAGATGTTTAAAACCTGGTATATGTATTTTTAAATAAGACTGTTTAAAGTGAGACTTTTGAAAAATATTAGCTATGCAGAATGATTAGCACTGGTACAGCATGCACATCTTGTTAATAAAAATATTTGACACTGAAAGAATGCCTGGAAGTATTATCATAAAAGTAGATTTTTTTTTTTTCCTGGTGGATAGTATGAAAATCCCAGTATCCACACACTGTAATACACTCAGTAAATCTGTCATGATTGAATGTAACCTTTATTACATGCAGACTGGGAGTTAGATCATGCCATTTCTTAGGCACTGCAGACTGAATGTTGATGACATACACATTACAGGACAGGCATGTTTTAGCACAGGGCACAGCTGCAGGCAGAAGCTAAAGGACAATTAATTGTTCATGTATATCTCTCTTTTGTTTTTGCTCTAGATAAATGTTTTATCATTAACAGAGACTGCTTCTTTAAAACGCCTGTGTGTAGGTAGCTAAAGCAGCCTGCAAAATGCAGGAGAAGCTTAGCTTTACTGTGAAGTCTGAGTCTGAGTGTAACCTAACTAGCTAGAGGATATGCAATTCCTGATTGACAGCAGGACTAGCATTATGCAAATGCTGTAAGAGCTAACAGCAGCTGGGGAACAGTGATCAGGGGCTCTGTTAGGGATCTCTCTACACACGCCACACATATCTCTCTAGTTTTTATCTCGTCTGCTGTTGTGTTTAATTTCAACAATCAATACATTACACAAAACAATTGTTGCTTTTTTGACATTATTAAATTTAAAATCTCAGGGCAGTTTCAGTTTTTGAGTTAGAGATCTGTGAGAGCTTTTTACTCAAGCTAAATTGGTTAAATTTCAGCTGGGTAACATGCTTATCTTTAAACCTTTCTGTTTTTAAATCCTGTGTGTCTGGTCCCTTCATACTAAAGTGTATTTTGCTTGTTTCTTCCCGTCGTCTTCAGTCTGAAGCCTTATGTAGGTCAGGCTTGGCTTAAGCAGATTTCCTGAACCTGCGTCAGCTTAAGCTGAAGGAATTTTAATAAACCCTCCCTTGTAGGCGTGGGCCTAAATGAGACTAGCCTAGTTAAGCCTGATCTTTTTCTGTTTGCGAAAAAGAGCTGAGCAGAGCTAGGGACTGCATGGTGGTTTCAAAAACTGCCTCCTTAATTCAGAGATAACAATGGTTGGGAAGGCCAGATCTTCTAATTTTACCTTATCTGAAAAGCTTGATTTGCTAAAACTTGTGAAGCCGTATGTTAAAATTCTTGAAGAACATACCAATAAGCATTCAGTAATAGTGGAAAAAAACAAATGCTGGGATATCATAGCTGATAACTACAATGCCATCGGAGTAGATCGTCCTCCTCGTACTGCACAGGGCCTGCGCACGCTGTACAAGAGGCTCAAAGAATATGCCAAACAGGAGCTATTGCAGCAAAAGGAGACCCATTCAGATTATAAAAGCAGCATTTCTGAGCCAACCAAGAAAGTTGTGGAGATGATTCCACAGATTTCCAGTGTGTGTTTAAGAGACAGGAGCAGTTTTCAAAGGTGAGATACATTTTACTTTGTTATTAAATTAAAATTATGGCGCCTCCTACCTACTCTATAAGACTTATTCTTAACTTGAGTTCAGTGTCCTAAAGCAAATACCCACAACAGAGTTGAAAAGGATTGGAAACAATAGCAAGATACTATTTCCTTTGTTTTATGGTGACTTAACATTGCATTCTATTTTCAGCTGTGTTTCAAAGCTTGTTTCAGTGTTTTGTGTCATATTCTGGAAGGTGAGGGTTAAGAGGGAATCACAGAGAAATAGTAGCTCCAACCTCTACCCCTCCCTCACCTTTTAATAGGCAGATTATTCAAACACTGACAAAGTGATGGCTATTCTCCTCCATTTAAGGTAATACTGCAGTCATCTTGCTGCATATAAAACTATTACCAGTTTACATAAGATCTATATAAAGTTCAGGGAACCAAGAAATCTATTTCATATACCTTTCTGTATCATAAATTATTCTATTAGGCAAATATTGAATATGTTTTAACTGAATCCAGACCTTAAGCACTTTGTCTCCATACAGTAAAGTGCCTTTAACACTACAAATAGATTTTTACAGATTACTTTTCCTTCACTTGCTGACATTTTCTGAAACCAGAGCAAAGCTAATTGCAATATAAACTGTAAATAACAATCCATGTATTGTATGTTAGGCAGTTTGTAAGCATATAAACAGAGATTGGGGAGCTACAGAATCAGTAGTTTTCTCTTTTGTAGTTCTTTTTAGTGCTCCATGAAGTGAGACTGTCTAGAATTGAGCCAGACATAATACAAGCAGGCAGTGGGCAAGCTTCCCCCCACAGCTGCTATAATGCCCCTCAAATCAGACTTGCAACACACTCTACTGGTACAGTATTGGTCTTTTCAGGATCAGAAACTGCCAGGGTCAGATTTTGCTTCCTCTGGATGCAGATATTTTAAACTAACGAGGATAAAAGTAAACTCTGTCCACTACCCAGAAATCATGATAAAGCTACATTTTTACATTCTTTTCACTAGCAGATCAAAATAGTATATGAAGCTGGCTTCCCTTTAATCAGATACTACTTATAGTTGGTTGGTGCAACAGCTAAGTGTTCTAGGGGAAGCTGGCATGTGCACACATGGGGAGTTTGATTCATGGTGCCAATGACTGAACTGAATGGTAACAATTGTCTAAATCCTATCGTGCTAGATTCTCTTAAAAAAATAACATGCTCTTGTGGGGCTTTGATGTAAAGAAATCTGTAGCACCAGTGCAGTCTAGTTGCAACTGGTTAATGCCCGTATAGGTAAAATTCAAGTATCTTATAAAAAACAAAACAGCCTTTTTAATTAGATATAAAAGTGATGTTTTGATCACCACCTACTGTAATGAAAAAAATTAGTCTGAGAGGTATAGATGTTTCATGGACTTATATACAGTAATGGTGCTTTTCATGCACAGCATGTTCAAGAGCCAGTGATCTCCATAATTTGACTATTGCAACTCAAACATATTTGGAATCTGTTAGGACTCAGAGAACACTGAATTAGTGCCCAAAATGATTTCCCCCTAATATCAGTTGGTGCACTAAGTATTGGAGAAATACTTTTAAATAGTTTCATGCAAAATGCACTATTATTTTGTATTCTTCCATTTTAACCCTGAAATACATCTCCCCCCCCCCCCAAACATAACCAGTTTTAACCCATTATAACATGACTTTGTTTTTGGAGGTATATATAAGTAGTTGACAAAGTCCTAATGTCACCTGGTATCTGGTAAGAAATTCTTACCTTACTTTAATTAAATTAAACAAAACCTATGAATCATGGGTGCCTCAGGGTTATAAATACCACCCCCATTATGGTAACTGTTGTTTCCCTTTCTTTCAGTGGAGTTGGCAGGAGTCCCACTGTAACTGCCAAAGAGGAGCTTCTCTTATTACAGTTCCTTCTTTCTGTTTTCACCTTCTATCTTACTGTTGTTTAGCTCTTAAGAAACTAACTAAAACTAATTCACAGGTCTGAGTTACATGGAAGCTTATCATTTTGCTAGTTTCTTGGTGGGGTCCACTGTAGTGGATCATTGTGGATTTCTCACCATTGGGCTGTTCTAGACTGTATCAACTCCCAGTTTACCTCCACTCCCCTTTCTGGGAGCCTCTCTTTCTCTTTAGCTTGACCTGCTTCTCCTGATACTTGTTTCCACCCCTTGCCTCAGGCTCGGAACAGCAAGTAAGGATGAGGAAGGCCACATTAGGAGCTGAGGCTATGGCAGGAAGAAAATCAGCATGTAGCTAGCAGTGGAGAGGAGACTGGCAGTCGTACTTGGCAGTGGGAATGTTAAGGTTGTAAAGTCAAGCACTCAAAAGTTATGAAGTAAAAGAATTAAGGCCCATGCAACCTTAATTGTCCCCTTTTGTGTATGTATTATAATACAGTCTTTAATTACATGATCACATATTTTTCCCACAGGACCTCTGCCTCATTCAGTGCACAAGATGGACACTGCTTAAGGAAGTAATCTGGGCTGTGTATTGAATGAAGCAGTTGTCAGTAGGCCCCCTGCCTCATTTGTTCTACAAGTTTGAAAGGTGTGTGGTGAATGAGGCAGGGTATTGCATGAAGAGAAAGGATGGTCTCATGGTTAAGGCAATTGAATCTTACCCTGGAAAACTGGGTTCTATTCCTGCCTCTGCCACAGAGGCTCTTGGATCCACACAGGGATTTAGGTGTTGTAACACTCAGAATTGCAATGCTTGACTTTCATGTTCCTAGAAAACCACTGTAATCACTGGGATCCACAAAGCCTGAATTAGGTGTCTAGGCTCCCTACACAATGCATAGGGAGAAATAGGTGCCTAAAAGTGGGATCCACAAAAGCCAGTACACTAGACGAGGAGTTGCCTAAGCTAGCTAATTGGAGATGCTGACAGGAAGGGTGTGTCCTAAGCCTGCCTCTCTCATGGAGTTAGGCACCTACCTGTAGTTGAGATTTACATGCCTATCTCTGCATTCGACAGCCAGGAGTTCCTTTCTTGGAGCCAGGCAGTTTAGGTGCCTAAGCAAGAAATGGAGAAGGAGGGAGGTGGAGGTATCTTCTTTATAACTTTTAGCTCAGTGGTTAGAACACTCACCCAGGATGTGGGAAACCAAGGTTCAATTCCCCCTTCTGTATGATGGGAAGAAAGGATTTGAACAGAGGACTCCTACCTCTTAGGAGAGTGCCATAACCACAGACATAGGGAATATTCTGATGTGAGGCTTCCTCAGTCTCTTCTATTGAATCTGTTCCTCCACTTTGGGTAAATAATTAGAGCAGGGGTCAGCAACCTTTCAGAACTGGTGTGCCGAGTCTTCATTTATTCATTCTAATTTAAGGTTTCGTGTGCCAGTAATACATTTTAATGTTTTTAGAAGGTCTCTTTCTATAAGTCTATAATATATAACTAAACTATTGTTGTATGTAAAGTAAATAAGGTTTTAAAAATGTTTAAGAAGCTTCATTTAAAATTAAATTAAAATGCAGAGCCCCCCGGACCAGTGGCCAGGACCTGGGCAGTGTGAGTGCCACTGAAAATCAAATCATGTGCCGCCTTCGGCACACGTGCCATAGGTTGCCTACCCCTGAATTAGAGTAATGAGGGCAGAGTGAGAGAGCGAGACTGACACTATAGCTTGGTGGTTAGGGCACCCACCTGACAGATGGGTGACCCAGGGTGTCTAGTTCCCCTGTTTGGGTTGCATAGGGAAGATAGGTAGGGGACTACCTCATTTCCCTTACTTTGTGGATTGTGCTGGGGCTTAGGAATGAGCTAGATGTCTGGACTTCTAGAGTGAGGCTGCAGTGTACATGCTCAAAGTGAGAAAACATAGGCATCTACAGTAAAAAAGTTACTGAGTGAGTTTAGGTGCCTGTGGGATTAGGCAGCAGCTGAGACAGGAAATTGTGGATTGCAGTGATGCCTAAAACTAGTGCCTTGGCTACACTGGCGCTGTACAGCGCTGCAACTTGCTGCGCTCAGGGGTGTGAAAACGCCCCCCCCGAGCGCAGCGAGTGCAGCGCTGTAAAACGCCAGTGTAATCAGTGCCTGCAGCGCTGCACACTCCCTCGCAGCGCTGCAAGCTACTCCCCTCGGAGAGGTGGAGTACTTACAGCGCTGCGAGAGAGCTCTCGCAGCGCTGGTGGCGTGACTACACTCGCGCTTCACAGCGCTGCCGCGGCAGCTCTGTGAATCCCCAAGTGTAGCCAAGGCCTGGGACTTAACACCTAAGTCCCCTTGTGGATCATTTGTGATGCTAGGCAACTCACTTGAACTAAACTTTTCACAGGTTGCCAGTAACTATGGTCATGTCTACACTACCACTTATGTCGGCAAAATTTGTTGCTCAGGGGTGTGAAAAAACCATATCTCTGAGCGACATAAGTTTCGCCGGCATAAGTGGTAATGTGCACAGCGCTCCTGCTGGCATAGCTACCACCGCTCATTGCGGATGGTTTAATTATGTTGACGGGAGAGCTCTCCCATCAGCATAGAGCAACTACATGAGAGATCTTTCAGTGGCGCAGCTGCATTGGTACAGCTGTGACACTGTAAGGTCTCTAGTGTAGACATAGCCTATGTGTTGCTCATTTTCTGGGTGCCCAAGTTGAGAAATGTGGGGCTAGATTTGCAGAAGTGCAGAACACTCACAGGTGAAACTGAAGGCAAGAGCTGTGCTTTAAAGAAATAAAGTGCTATAAAATGAATGCTAAGTAAAAAATGAGGCCATAGGCCCTTAAATTGGGCATCCAAAATTAGTGGCCACTTTTGACCTTAATCTCTCTGTGTCTCAGATCTAGATCCCTGCAAATCCGCGGGTATCTGCTTTATATCTGTGGACCATTTCTGTGTATAGCAGCATGGATGCAGATAAAAATTTTGTATCCGTGCAGGGCTCTGACGATAAGAGCCGGGCGGGCAGCTTTGAGGAACTGTGGCATGGATCCTCCACCTGCCCTGGGCGGGTAGCCTGCGGGACAGGGACACTGAGCGGAGAGGCTGGGGGCAGGGTCACTGGGTGGGAGTCGGGGGCTGCAGCTCCCCACAGCTGCCAGTGCGTCTCTCCCTGACCCAGAACCGGCTGGGGGAGGGGTGACTCGAAGCCGTAGCTGGGCCACAGTAAGAGCCATGCAGGCAGCTGTGGGGAGCTGCGGCGGATCCTCCAACTGCCCTGGGTGAGAGGCCCGAGCAGCCCCCGGGCACGTCCACAGGTCTCTTCCCCGCCCCCCCCGGCCAGGCCAGTGTGGAGCCCAGCCAGGGAGCCTTGGGGAGCCGTGGCGAACTCTCCACCTGCCTGTGGTGCAGGGGAAGGGGCTGAGAGCAGCTCCCGGCCATCTCCCCGCCCAGCCAAGGTCAGGTGGAGGGTCCGCGATTCCGCACAGGCTCCCCACAGCAGCCCTAGAGGCTCTCCCTGACCGGGCTCTGGTGGGGGGGGGGGGGATGCCTCCGAGCCTCAGCCCAGCCCCCAGTGGAGAGCCCTACAAATCCACGGATATCCGCAGATAATTTTTGCGGATCGGATGCGGATACATATTTGTGTATCCGCACAGGACTCTAGGCAGATCCTTATCTGTAAAATGGGAATAATAATACTGTAATAGCACTTTCATCGGAGTGTTGTGAAAATAAATTCATTAATATCTGTAAAGCATCCAGATTCTGTAGTGATGAGCACCATAGAAAAGTCCATAAGGAAATTAATAATTCGGTCTTCAGAGCAGGGTTTAAAATGTGTGCAGTAAATATGGCCTAGGTCCACAAATTCAACAAGGAGGATAACCAAAATATTGAATAGCTGATCATTAAGTAAGCATCATCCATCCTATGCACTGAAGAAGAGAGTGCTCCTGTGGAAGAAAATAATATGTAATCATGTAATTAAAAACTATATCATAATGCATATGCACTGGGGGGCAATTAAGAGTGCATAGGTCTTAATTCTGGTGGTACTTAGCTTTCTTGGCTGGCCAGCCTTCCTCCCTGTCTGTGGTTTCCCACCTCTACTCCATGCTATAACTCTCTTGCTACCTCACAGCTACTCACGCACACACGCAGAAGTCCAGCAGCAGAGTGGGGGGCTATCCAGTTTATTTCATTTAATGCAGCATGCGTGATTGCTTCCTTGTGGGCAGGTAGCAAATGTGTGCATTTGGTGCAAGTGACTCATGGCCCATAAAGCCCACGTCTGGGCTCTTCAGACCAGAATGGCTTAATTGGAGGAGCTAAGGGAGACAGAGAGGTACATACATGAGACTTTCTGGGATGCCGTAAAGTGGTCCCACCCCCTCATCTGTCCTCCTCTGTGCTGTTGAGGAGGATGAAATCTCAGGGAAGGTGAATATCAAACTGGAGCAGAGGGAAATAATCTCATAGTTGGAACCCTTCTTCCAGATGATGTCCTGGTATCTTCTCACACTGAGGCTACCTCTCTGGGAGAGGGGACCCCTGTTATTAGGAAGAGACAGGTAATAGTAATGGGGGATTTAGTTATTAAAAATATAGATAGTTGGATTTGTGATGACTGGGAGAACCGTATGGTGAATAACCTGCCAGGTGTGAAGACCTCTCAAGACATCTAGACAGACTTCTGTGCGGTGCTGGGGAGCACGTAGGTGCCAGGAACATAGGGAAAGGTAGGAGAGAGGTCCTGAAGGCCAAATTCAGGCTGCTAGGTAAGAGATTAAAGTCAGGACCTCATTAGTAGCATTCTCTGAAATGCTTGCAGTTCCACATGCAGGGCTAGTTAAACAGATAGAACTGCAGGGTCTCAATGTGTGGATGAGATGATGGAGTTTGGAGGAGGGAGTTAGGTTTATTAGGATCTGGAGAACCTTTCGGGAAAAGGAGGATCTGTACAGGTAGGATGAGCTGCACTTAAACCAAAATGGAACCAGATTGCTGGAATGTAAAATTAAAAATGTCAAAGAGGAATTTTAAAACTAAGGGCTGGGGGAAAGATGACAGATGTGGAAGAACACATGGTTCAGACAGAGACATCCCTTAGGGGAGGATTTATTAAAGGGAATACTTTATAGCCTAATAAAGAGAAGAGGATAGAAGTTGATAAAGTACAGGTAGGCTCTGAAGAGAAACAGGCAAATGAAAAGGAGTGCCTTTCAGTTACATCACATGAAGGCAAACAACTAAATATTGACAAAATTTAAAATTGTTTGTATACTAATGCAAGAAGTTAAAAAGCTAAGATGGGTGAACCTGAGTGCCTGGTATTAAATAAGGCTATTGATATCATAGTCATCACAGAAACTTGGTGGAATTATGATAATCAATGGGATGCAGTAATAGGGTACAAAATATATCAGAATGACAGAGTAGGTTGTGCTGGTGGGGGAATGGCACTACATGTGAAAGAAAGCATGGAGTCAAATATAGTAAAAATCTTGAATGAATCAAACAATACTATAGAATCTCTATGGATAGAAATTCCATGCTTGAATAATGAGTATAGCAGGAAGATTATACCACCGCCTGACAAGGAATTGTGATTGTGAAGTGCTCACGGAGATTCGAAAGGCTTCAAAAACAGAACAGTTAAAACCTCAAAATAATGGGAGATTTCAACTATCCTCATATTGACTGGAAACCTGTCACCTCAGGATGGGATGCAGAGAGAAAATTTCTAGACACCATTAATGACTGCATCTTTGAGCAGCTGGTCCTGGAATCCATAAGGGGAGAGGCAATTCTTGATTTAGTCCTAAGTGGAGCACAGGATCTGGCCCAAGAAGTGATGATACAATAAAAGCTGTTTTTTATCCAGCACTTCACCAACCAGAAAGCTCTATAAACCAGCATTTCTGATCTTCATTAAAATTTTGTTTTATAGTCCGGTTGGTGCAAGGCCGACAAAGGGTTGGGGCGTGGGAGAGGGTGTGCAGTGTGGGCTCTGGGAGGGAGTCTGGGTACGGAAGGGGAGTGGGGGCCTGGGAGGGGATGCAGGGTGCCGGATCCTGCGGCCACTCACCTCGGGCAGGTCCCCACAAGTGGCGAACTGTCCTGGCTGCTCCCAGCCGGAGGCCCGACAGACGACTTTCCGCGCTGCCCCACCCCGAGCGCTAGCAACACAGCTCCCATTGGCTGGGAACCACGGCCAATGGGAAATGCAGGGGTAGCTCCTGCGGGCGGAAGCGGCACACAGAGCTGCCTGCTGTGCCTCCACTTAGGAGCAGCCAGGACAGGTCGCTGCTTGTGGGGAGCCACCTGAGGTGACCAGCCTCCGGATCCAGCATCCTGCACCCCCTCCTGTGCCCCAAGCCCCCTCCCACACCCAAACTCACTCCCAGAGCCTGCACTCCACATCCCCTCCCGCACCCAAACTCCCTCCCTCTTAATTAACCACCATTTTTCACTTACCGGCACCCCCCGTTTCCCCAACATGCTGGATAAAACAGCTTTTACTGTAGCTGAACCACTTGGTAATAGTGACGATAATTAAGGGCTGGTCCACACTAACCCCCCAGTTCGAACTAAGATACGCAACTTCAGCTACTTGAATAACGTAGCTGAAGTCGAAGTACCCTAGTTCGAACTACAAAGTACTTACCGCAGGTCCACACGCGGCAGGCAGGCTCCCTCGTTGACTCCGCGTACTCCTCTCGCAGAGCAGGAGTACCGGCGTCAACGGCGAGCACTTCCGGGATCGATTTATCGCGTCTAGACAAGACGCGATAAATCGATCCCAGAAGATCGATTGCTTTCCGCCGAACCCGGAGGTAAGTATAGACGTACCCTCAGTGTAACATCCTTGTAAGGGGAAAAATACCAGAGAAACCAACCACAGTAGCATTTAACTTTGGAGCTACACAAAAATGGGGAGGCTATAACAAACAGTCACGAGTTAAATGGCTGCAAGCTGCATGGAAACTTTTAAAAAACACCATAATAGAGGCTCAAATTAAAAGTGTACCCCAAATAAAAAAAAACCAACAACTACAAGATGACCCCCCCCAAAAAAGCCATCATGGCTAAACAATAGAGTAAAAGAGGCGGTTACAGACAAAAAGACATCTTTTAAAAATTGGAAGTCAAATCCTAGTGACTAAAATAGAAAGGAACATAAACTCTGGCAAGTCAAGTGTAAAAGTGTGCTTAGGCAGGCCAAAAAAGAATTTGAAGAGCAACTAACAAAAGACACACAAACTAAAACCATTTTTGCTGTTAAGTACATCAGAAGCAGGAACCCTGCCAAACAATCAGTGGGGCCACTGGACAATTGAGCTGCTAAAGGAGCACTCAAAGAAGACAAGGCCATGCGGAGAAACTGAATGAACTCTTTGCATTGGTCTTCACTGCAGAGGATATGAGGGAGATTCTCACACACGACACATTCTTTTTAGGTGACAAATCTGAGGAACTGTCCCGGATTGAGGTGTCCCAAAAAGAACACATTTGTTTGTCACAATTCAGTATAGTCTCTTGAAATCCTATATACTTCCCAGGGCTTACATCTGTCACCTCTCCCCACTGGGGAAGTTGCATACAGTCCTAGCTCACCTTAATACCTAAACTTAATAAAGTAAGTTCTTCCAAGATATATTGCAGAAAATTGCAATATTTATCACAAGTTAAATCTGCTCCTATTTTTGTATATAATGGCTTTTGTTTACAGATAATGACTTAATTATTATATATATGTTTTAGTGCTAACATAGATAAAGAAACAGTTGCTGGTACCAGTTCCCCACAAGCAGTGTTGGATCACCATCCTGCCACTGTCACAATGGAGTTGGAACCAGAAGAGGATGTCAAACCTCCTCCTTCCTTGGCTGTAGATTCACAGCAGAGTGAGGACTTAGAACAAGGAGAAGAACACCAATTGGTGCATGTTATGGAGAGATCTCCTTCAACTTCACTGTCTTCTGTTGATATGAGAATGATGTTATCTTCATCTCCCATCCCAAGAAGAGATGATTTTTTTAGGCTTGAGGTTGGAGAACGCTTTAGGCCAGCGTGTGGGTATGAGCCACAGATGTTGCAAATGCTGAAAGAGGAGCATCAGATAATCTTGGAAAATCAAAGAAAAATTGGGCTTTACGTCCAAGAAAAGAGGGATGGCTTGAAAAGAAAGCAGCAGCTGGAAGAAGAGCTATTGAAAGCAAAAATCAAAGTAGAGAAGCTGAAGGCAATAAGACTACGACGTGATCTGCCAGAATACAACAGTCTTTAAATATTTATCATCTGTCATGTAATCTGTGATGTTTTATTCTCTGAGATACTTTATAATAAATTCTTTTGGCCTAGCAAAATGATTTTTTTATGTTAATTTGGATGGATCAGAATCTAGCCTTGAAAAACGAATGCATGTTTTCCATTTTGTTGTTTATGTACATTAGCAAAAATGTCAAATGTCTTTCACAGGTTTGAGTCTTCTCAATATTTCTAGTCTGAAGTATAATCAGATACTGTAGTTCTAAGTGTGTAAGATAAAAAACTGCCTTTGGAAATCTTCCACTGAACTTTATTAGACCTGGAACAAGCTAATGAAAATTTAGACAGGTGTTCTTAAAGATGTTGATTTTATGCTTTATTCTTTTTTCAAAGCAATTCCTAGCCTTTTTAGTATTCTTTATGAAGTTATTTGAAGGTTAATAAATGTGTATATATAGAGAGAAATAAAGGCCATGTTTCTTTATATATCTTTTTCACTCATTTTAAATTAGTAAAGCCTATGGCAATGGTGAGATTTTGCTAATGTGTTATATTAGCTTGGAGAACATAGGAAACTGACTGGATTGTTTTATTTTTTATGCTCAACTGAGGAAAGGTTGAGTAAATGCACATATCTTTTTAAAATTTAACACTTTTTATATTCAGTGGATGAAAGTTTATGTAAGATAATTTCAAAATAGAGATGCTGAAGGCAACATTTAAATTTTCAGAACTGCATGCATGCATAATTTGTGTGCACAGTTACTGTGATTGTGTATTCAATTGTGGTAATTACACTGGCAAGTGACTAGGAAGATATCTAATTTGTTCATTTCCATGCATAATTACTATGATACATGTGCAGCCAAGATAGATGCTGGTGCATTTGGATCAACGTCACTGTTATGCTATAGCTACTAAAATGCAATAGTTTCTCTACATAAATAATTTGTGACCCAAAATCCAAGTAAGATTCTTTATCATCTAGGATAATTTTTGTGAGTGGTATGACTTTTTTGATTTATTTACAAATAAAAATCCCAAACATAAAAAATAAATCCATTCCCCTATCCTTCCTAGCAACATCTGAAGATTGCAGGATTGCATAGGTTTAATTAAGGGCTTAACTGAGCCTAACCTTTATTTGTGGTGCTGTTGTGAGAGATGGAGAGAAACCAGCTTGACTGTCAGAACCCAGGATGAGCTTGTGGAGTTATGTGGGGGAGCAGTGGGGTGGAGGGGGTGGGAAAGTGAGAGGAAACAAATCTTTTACTTGTAACCTGAGGAAATTGGAAATTGAAATCACTGAGATTCAGTGAATATGGACTTCCACAACCCTTCACCCCCCCAGTCACTTTAGGATAGAGCAGCATTTTAAGGCCACATCTAAACTCTCACTTATGTCAGCAAAACTTACGTCGCTCAGGAAAAAACACCCCCCTGAGTGACATAAATTTTGCGAGCGTAAGTGCTCATGTATATAGCGTTGTGTCACTGTTCATTTAGGTGGTTTTATTATATTAAACGGAGAGAGCTCGTGTAGAGCAGCTACATGAGCGATCTTACAGCGGCACAGCTGCATCGGTACAGCTGTGCCACTGTATGTTTGCTAGTGTAGACATGGCCTAAGATGAGAGCCCCATTCTCTCCATTGTGCCTTTTGTATGCCTTGAAGGTGTTAACCTCTCAATAACTAGCCTTGATTTCAGTGCACATCCTGGCCAACCCCAGCATTCTTCAATTCCAGGATACTGATATGTCTTGTAGAGCTGGAATCACTTCTACAGGACATTCATTTTTCTGGGCCTACAAGACTCAAAACTTCTTTTTAAAAAATAAAAAGCATTCTTCCTGCTGTACTTTACCATCCAGGATGTGGCTTCTGAGGAATGGGAACCAGCATAAAGTAAATTTTCAGTGCCTACCTCATAGCATGGAAATACCTGGCTTTGTCTGATAATCTAGATTCTGGTTGTCCAGTGTTATGGGGTAGATGCCAAGTTGTTTCTGTGTTCTTGTTCCAAGTTTTCATAGATGTGGTCCCATGTTCAACAGAGGCCAGAATGAGGTCTCACAGGGCTTATGATGTTGCAGTGGTTGTCTTGACTACAACCCACTCTATACTGGTTACCAGAGCCCTCCACATAGACTTTGGAAATGTTTCTACCTACATGTCCATTTCTTTTGACATCTCTCTACAGATGTTATTTCTGTGAGGGCCAGAACCATGGAACTTTCCACTCTTTGCCAGCATCAGGTGGCTTCTCACCAGGAATGTAGAGGTAGATGCAAAGACAAAATTGGCAGAACCTCCCCAGAGTTTTAGATTCTGGGAGGGAAAGAGTTGGGTGGATGAAGACATAATAGAATATGGAGGTCCCATGAAGACTCTTTCTCCACCATCCTCACTCCATATTATGATTGTTTTGTTTCTCAGAGAAAGGAGTTTTCTCTTCTTCTTTGTGCTAGCGGCATCTTCTATCCAGAGACATCTCATATTTCCAATTTCCTTTGTTCTGATTTCATCATGGCAGATCTTTCAATTCTTGGGTCATTTTGCAGTTGGCTTGCACCCTGTCCTGTGGGTTCGCGTCTACCTTTAGCCATCCTCTTTCAAATGTACTTTTTAATTTTTTTTTCCATGGAAGATGTCCTTTCCTTCTCTTAGTCTATCAAGAAGTCAACCATATTTGGTGCTTCTCTCCCTCCAATTATTGTGGGTCTGCACTTCTTCTCCAGCACCCATATCTGGTTTGCATCATCACTTTACCTGCCTCTTAGACTTGGGCATCTTTCATTTCTTAGAAGGTGTACCTTCAGTATTATGTTGCAGCACTAAGGTATATCTACATTGCACACCTCTGGCGGTGACATATAGTGTATGCTGCAGCAAAAAACAAGCTGTGTTCACACTACAGTGGGTAGCTAAATATGGCACTGAAAGGCTGTGGCCAGGGGGATGCAGCGGTGAGCTGAGGGAGCCTTTCCGCACTGATGAGTCTTTCACTGTGGCAGGGAAAGGCTCTGGCAACTTCTCACTTTCCCTGCCACGGGGAGCTGCCGGAGCCTTTCCCCACTGTCTCCCTGCTGCCGGAGTCTTTCCCTGCTGCTGGAGTCTTTTGTGACTGCTTCTTCACTGCATGAAAAGACTCTGGCAGTGGGGAGGCACCAGGACATTACACTGCTAAAAAATAGCAGTATAGATGTGGGAGGAACTGCTTGAGCATGTAGAGAGAGAGTTTTGGCATGTCTTTATGTGCCTAAACAGTGCCTCACTATCTAGAATGTTGTTTATACCCATTCTAGAGGGGCATGCAGTGTATGTACTCTACACACTGCCATCAGGATTGTGCTGTGTAGACATACCCTTAGGCAGTTCTTTTGGACCTGCAATCTTAGGAACTTCTCTATTCTAGTACACAGCCATACTGAACTAACATATATGAACAGGGCAGCATGGAAAACACAGCACCATGTTCTGTCCTTCTCCTTCCCCAGTCTCTGTACCTTAGCAGTGCCTCTATCCCTGTCTGCCTCAGAAAAGTGTACAGGTCTGTCGCATCTTACGCGCGATTTCAGCTTTACGCGGTCGACAAAAACAAACAAAAAACAAAAAAAGAGAGAAAAATAACAATTTTAATATTGTACCTGTAGTGCGGGCGATTCCGCCCGCCATTGACCTCAATGTAATTTTGACTATATGCGGTTTTCGCTTTACGCGCTAACCGCGGAACGGAACCCCTGCGTAAGATGAGACTCGCCTGTACCTCTAGCAAGGATGAGTGAGTGGAGCCTTCACTTTCCTGGGGTCTCCAACAGTTTATTAGTGTGCTTCCAGCAAGATAACCATGCTAAACGAGTCCTGGCAAGAGCTGCAATCGCAATTTTGAGGGATATATTCATTTGCTTGAGATTGAGGCAAGGAACTGTGATAGTGTTCCCCTCCTCTCCTCTTGACTCAGAACTTTTGAGACAAGTAAGACATGTCAGAAATGATACTACTGCCTCCTTTGTTGCTCTTCACCTTTGAGCACAGGAGCATCACCAAGTTCTCATCCTTGATAAATGCCCTTCAACTGGAGCATCTGTTCCTGAGACAAGTCAGTTTCCCCAGCTCATGTCACCTAGACTTGACATCCTAGAAGTTGAATGAAGATGGTATTTCACTGTAGGATTTTCAGAGGATGTAGCTTGGGGTGTTTCCTCCTTGAGAAGGAATAAGAACATAAGAATGGCCATACTGGGTCAGATCAAAGATCCATCTAGCCTAATATCCTGTCTTCCGACAGTGGCCAATGCAAGATGCTTCAGAGGGAATGAACAGAACAGGTAATCATCAAGTGATCCATCCCCTGTCACCCATTCCCAGCTTCTGGCAAACACAGGCTAGGGACACCATTCCTGCCCATCCTGGCTAATAGCCTTTGATGGCAATACCCTCCATGAATTTATCTAGTTCTTTTTTGAATCCTGTTATAGTCTTGGCCATCACAACATCCTCTGGCAAGGAGTTCCACAGGTTGACTGCATTGTGTGAAAAAATACTTCATTTTGTTTGTTTTAAACCTGCTTCCTATTAATTTCATTTGGTGACCTCTAGTTCTTGTGTTATGCGAAGGAGTAAATAACACTTCCTTATTTACTTTCTCCACAACAGATATAATTTTATAGACCTCCGTCATATCTCCCCCCTTAGTTGTCTCTTTTCAAAGCTGAAAAGTCCCAGTCTTATTAATCTCTCCTCATATGACAGCTGTTCCATACCCCTAATCATTTTGTTGCCCTTTTCTGAACCTTTTCCAATTCCAACATATCTTTTTTGAGATGGGGCGACCACATCTGCACGCAGTATTCAAGATGTGGGCGTGTCATGGATTTATATAGAGGCAATATGATATTTTATGTCTTCTTATCTATCCCTTTCTTAATGATGCCCAACATTCTGTTCGCTTTTTTGACTGCTGCTGCACATTGACTGGATGTTTTCAGAGAACTATCCACAATAACTCCAAATTCTCTTTCTTGAGTGGTAACAGCCAATTTAGACCCCATCATTTTATATGTATAGTGGGGATTATGTTTTCCAATGTGCGTTACTTTGCATTTATCAACATTGAATTTTATGTGCCATTTTGTTGCCCAGTCACCCAGTTTTGTGAGATCCTTTTGTAGCTCTTTGCAGTCTGCTAGGGACTTAACTATCTTGAGTAGTTTTGTATCATCTGAAAATTTTGCCACCTCACTGTTTACCCCCTTTCCCAGATCATTTATGAATATGTTGAATAGGACTGGTCCCAGTACAGACCCCTGGGGGACTCCACTATTTACCTCTTTCCATTCTGAAAACCTACCCTTTGTTTCCTATCTTTTAACCAGTTACAGATCCATGAGAGGACCTTCCCTCTTATCCCATGACAGCTTACTTTGCTTAAGAGCCTTTGGTGAGGGACCTTGTCAAAGGCTTTG